TCCTGACTTGAAATTATACTACAAGGCTACTGTGATAAAATCAGCATGGTACTGGCAACAAAATAGACCTGAGGATCAATGGAATAGATTAGAAGACATTGAAGCTCCTATGAACACACTCAGCCACCTTATCTTTGACAAAGGGGCCAAACATACTCATTGGAAGAAAGATAGGCTCTTTAACAAATGGTGCTGGAAAAACTGGCTCTCTACATGCCGAAAACTCAAACTTGACCCAGATCTATCACCATGCACTAAACTAAAGTCAAAATGGATTAAAGATCTAACCATTAAAGCAGAGACACTAAATCTTCTGGAAGAGAAAGTAGGAGGAACTCTGGAAGACATAGGGGTAGGCAAAGAGTTCATGAACAGAAATAAAATCACACGGGAAACAGTTAAAAGAATTAACAACTGGGACCTGCTCTTACTGAGAAGTTTTTTCATGTCAAAAGAAATTACCAACAAAGTGAAAAGGCAACAAACAAATTTGGAAAAAATCATGACAAATAAGTACTCAGAAAAACGTCTGCTCTCTAGAATTTATAAAGAACTAAAAAACACTAGGGCCCCAACTTTAAAGACCCCATCTAGGAATGGGCATCCAAGAAGAACAAATGCTTCTCAGAGGATGAAATTAAAGAAGTGAATAAATATATGAAAAAATGATCCACATCACTAGCCATTACTGAAATGCAAATTAAAACAACATTGAGATATCATCTCACCCCAGAAAGAATGGCTATCATATAGAAATCACCCAACAACAAATGTTGGAGAGGCTGTGGGGAAAAAGGAACCCTTCTCCACTGCAGGTGGGAATGTAGACTGGAGCAACCATTATGGAAATCAGTATGTAGACTCCTTAGGAAAGTTGGACTGGAAATCCCATTTAAACCAACTATTCCCCTACTGGGAATTTTCCCTGCGGATCTGAAAACATCATATCATAGTGATATATGTGTGCCTATGTTTATAGCAGCACAATTTGTGATAGCCAAATCTTGGAAACAAACAAGATGCACATCACCTGAGGAATGGTTGAAAAAGATGTGGTATTTTTACACAATGGAATATTATTCAGCTATTAAGAATGATAGACTCAAAGCCTTTATATTGAAGTGAATGCCACTTGAACATATACTCATAAGTGAAATAAACCAGACACACATGTGTAAATATCATATAGTTTCCCTAGTATAAGAACTCAAAGGAAGAAATACAAATAGAAAAGTATAATACAAGTAAAAGGGAAGCAGAATCTCGAGGACTAACTAATCAAGAGAGGGAAAGGAGAAGAGCTAGGAAAGATGACAATGTCACGCCATACAGCTATATGTAGAAGATGGGCAAGGCTATGATCCTGAGAATCTCCAGAAGATTTTTGAATCTAGCAGTTAATTGGAAAGATTCTCACCCTGACTAACTATATATACTGATACCTGTGAACTAAGCAACTACACTGAAGATGGTAATCTGTAATAGTAGTTTCATGCTTGGATTACCTGTCATTCTGGTCTTCTGAATACGGGCTGCTTGTCATGACATACCAGTTGCTGCTGTGCTCTCTCGGGTAGATGATTGTTCAAAAAGAAGTGGGTGGTGAATAAAGGCAAGAGGTAGGAAAAGGAATATTGTGGGACTGTCTTGCTTCAAGGTTGTATATAGTTAGATTTTTGCACTTATGTGTAAACATAAGAAGTACATTTGTATATGGTTAGATTTTTGGATTTATGTGTAAACCTAAGAAGTATAATTCTTTATGCCTATTTTTTAAAATATATTCTAATTTTTAAATGTTTTTTCATCATATTCTATAGGGACTTAAAGTTCAACATATCAATACTTGATGAAAAATACCTGTTCCATGTTATGCCTAAGATGTTTGATATCCAGACAGTTAGTGAGGTTAAGCTTAACAGTCTAGGTTATATGGTAATAACAATAAACTTGTCTTCTGGATGGTTGACAACCTACATTTGCAGACCAAAATTAGAGAAAAAGGAGGGCCTCAAGGAAATACAACATTTTGGCCCTATCCTTCCAAGGAGATAAAA